ACGGCTGATGGGACAGAGCCTGCCGACGTAGACTTCGTCAAAGATGGTGGCAAGGAGCTCGTCGGGCAGGCGCAGGAGCGGCGACGGCTTGGTGGGGTCGACAAGGTCGGTTGACGACGTCGAGCTGATGAGGACCTGGTTCCGAGACGAGCGTCACGTGGGCGGGCGCGCAAGGCGTAGGAGGGCACGCAGACGCACCTGTTCGTCCATGCTAGCGCGCTAAGTGATGACCCGAGCGAGTCGTGAGGAGCAGCGAGTGGCAGGTGGGAGCGAGAGAGACGCGCGGAGGAGCGAGCACACGCCGGCTCGCCGCGGGACTTGCGCCGCCGAGCGAAGGTGACACAGGCTCTGTGCAGGCTCGGGGCTAGTGCAGCTCCTATTGCAGCCCCATTCTGTGCTGAGCTGAGCTGGTCCGAGGCTGCAAAGCACCGCCCCAACTCCTGGGCTCGAGCGCTCGAGCCGCTCGTCCCACCTCCTCCCACCTCCACCCCCCGTAGCTGCAGCACAGACCAGCGCGTTTGCGGTACGCGCTCGCCTCTGCACAGACTCGCAGCACCCCGCCCCGCCTTTCTCACTCGACCGCCGTGGCGAGAGAACGAAAGGTCGCTCACAATCGCAGGTGTTCTGGCGTGTCGTCCGCCTGGGCGTCCCTCGACCGCGCCTCCTGCATGGCGTGAAAGCCCCACCGGTCCCTCAACTTGTCCTCGATGTACTCGCACAGCTCCGTCGAGAGGCAATCCCCGCCTCAAGTCCTCGAGCAGCCGTGCCTTGCTCGCCTCGAACCATTGCCCGACCTCCCTCAGGCCGATGAGCGCCCGAGGCTGCGAGGGGCTCATCCCCCTGTCGTTGCGCATGGCCTGGATCATGAGCGTCGAGTGCGCGAGCTGGGCTCTCAGGACCTTGTTGAGGATCCGCGCGCTGCCCTCCGCGACCCAGGGGAACTCGTCCGCGATTTGGCTCGTCGTCCTCGGCGCGGCTCGATCTCGACCTCCGCCTCCGCCTCCACCCGCCGCCCTCCGAGGAGCGGGAGCGAACGCGAGCGCCTCGTGAAAGATCTGCTGCAGCGCGCAGCCCTCCTGCGCAAAGAGGTGCCAGGCCGTCCTTGTCGGGTCGACCTTGCCCGACGTGGCGCCCGCGCCGTACCACGCTGGGGCGCTCAGGTGCATGTGGGCGGGGAAGAGCGCGTCGAGGCGCTCTTCGCGCTCGAGGACTCGCGAGAGCGCTGGGTCGCGCGTGCTGAGGAGGTCGTAGAAGCGCTTCGTGAGGACGACGGCGGGGCGTGCGTGAGCGCGTGAACGGGGGTCGGGCAGGTAGACGCGCGCGCGAGGCAGACGCCCGTTCCGGTGCATGCGCATTTCTGTCGACACGGTCTCGACGAGGGTCGGCCGGCCCGGCATCAGGGGCACGTTTCGGAAGCGGCCGATGTCGAGCAGTTCCGACTGTGTGAGGGGCGGGAGGTAGAAGACGTCTGGGTCGCGGCCGCAGTGGACCTTGTGCGTTGGCCAGAGCTGTCGGAAGAGTCGCGGTTCAGCAGGCGCAAGAGAGGGAGGCGAGAGAGGAGGGAGGGGGCGAGGCGCAAGAGGGTTTGGCACCGCCTTGAGCAGAACTGGATGTCTTGACACGCGCTGTACTGGGTGGTCGATGGTTTTGAGCAGGCGGCACACTGCGCAGGTCGGGCGCTCATCGCTCGAGAGCGAGAGAGCAAGAGCGAGTGATGAGGTTGATCGAGCAGCTGGGAGAGGTAGAGATCGCAAGCGAGCGTCGCTGCGAGTGGATGGGCTCGGTGGGCCTTATCGTGTGCGTCCCAGGGAGCGTGTCAAGCGGGCAGGGGGTGACTTGGGAGGGAGGGAAAGGGTGGGGGGGGCGGAGAGGTTGCGGCTGCGGGGGAGTGAGCTCGAGCTCGTCGCTCGCCGGCACACGCTCTCGCCGCTCAACTCTCCGCGACCCACCCAGCCCAGCACTGCCCAGCCATGAGCAAGGCAAAGCAGGTCGCATTCGCCGACCTCGAACCCCAACTCCACCCTCTCCTCCTCCGCGCCCTCTCGTCCCTCTCCTTCCCCGTCCCGACCCCGATCCAAGCCACCCTCATCCCGCTCGCGCTCAGCTCATCCAGGGACGTCCTCGCACGCGCCAGGACTGGCTCGGGCAAGACCCTCGCCTACGCCATCCCGCTCGTCCAGGGCATCCTCCAGCGCAGGGACCGCGGCGAGCTCGACGGCACTCGCGCTCTCGTCCTCGTCCCGACTCGCGAACTCGCAGAGCAGGTCCGGGGCCAGGTCAACAAGCTCGTCGATGGGTTGGGACTGGCCGACCAGCAGGGCGAGGGAATCCGCGTCGTCAACCTCGTCGGCGACCAGGCGCACAGCCGCAAGAAGCGCAAGGCCGCGGGCGGCGAGCGCATCGAGCGGTGCGTCCCTTTGTCTTGTCCGCGTCCTGTGCTCCCCTGATCTCTCTCGGACCTGCCGCGGCGCCTCGCAGGATGCAGCTCGCCGACCGCCCCGAGATTGTCGTCGCAACGCCCTCGCGAGCACTCGCTCACCTGCGCGCCGAGGTGCGTCCCCTTTCAAGCCTTGATCGCCGCGGCTTGCTCGACAGAGCTGACCGACGTGCTCCCCCGTGCAGACACTGCATCTCGAGCACCTCGACTACCTCGTCATCGACGAGGCCGACCTGATCCTCTCGTATGGCCACTCGAGCGACGACATCCGGTCGATCCTCTCGGGGCCTTGGGGCCTCCCCAAGGTGTACCAGAGCTTCCTGATGAGTGCGACGCTGACGGGAGAGGTCGAGGAGCTCAAGGGCGTCGTGCTGCGGAATCCGGTGCGTTTCGTTTCGAGGCGGGCTCCGTCCTCCTGACGAGGTCGAGCGCGCGCTGACACCGCCTCGTGCGCCTACAGGTTGTGCTCAAGCTCGAGGAGGACGAAGACGAGCTCGCCAACCTGTCCCAGTACTGCGTTCGGTGCGTCGCCCTAGTCCACTCTCCTTCGACCCGCCCCGCTCACTCCTCCCCAACCGCACGCACGCAGCTGCTCCGAGGAGGACAAGTTCCTGCTCCTATACGTAATCCTCAAGCTCAAACTCATCAAGGGCAAGTGCCTCATCTTTGTCAACGACACGGACCGCGGGTACCGCGTCAAGCTCTTCCTCGAGAAGTACGGCATCAAGAGTGGCGTCCTCAATGCCGAGCTGCCTTTCAACTCGCGGTGCGTGGTGATCTGCCCTCCATGCGGCGCCTGTGCCACCCCCACGAGGCGCAGTCGCTGATGCACTCTGCTGGCCTCCAACCACAGGTACCACGCCGTGCAGGAGTTCAACCGCGGCGTGTTCGACTACCTCATTGCGACGGACGAGAGCGGGCTCGAGGGCCACGACCGGGATACGAACGAGGAGGACGAGGCCGAGGTCGAGGCAGAGGGTTCGGGCCGTGCGTTCTCTCTCTCTCTTCCGGGACCTTCTCCTCGCTTGTCGTCTTCCGAGCTGAGCGTTCCTCCTCGCGTGTAGTGATCACGACGCAGCCCGCCGGCGAGACGTCGACCTCGGCCGACGCCACCGACGCCGACGCCACCCCCGCAGCACCCGCGCCCTCGTCCAAGAAGCGCAAGCGCACAAAGGACGGCTCGGGCTCGTCCCGCCCCTCAACGTCAGAGTACGGCGTCTCTCGCGGCGTCGACTTTGTCGACGTGGCCTGCGTCATCAACTTTGACCTGCCGTTCTCGTCGCGCTCGTACACGCACCGGGTCGGCCGGACGGCGCGCGCGGGGCGGACGGGGACGTCGCTGAGCTTTGTCGTCCCGCGCGAGCTGTGGGGCAAGCAGAAGAAGAACGACGTGAGCCTCGAGACGGCGAGGTATGACGACAAGGTGTGGGCGCGGATCGACAAGGCGCAGAGGGCCAAGGGGCAGGAGGTCAAGGAGTACAGGTTCGACCTCAAGCAGGTCGAGGGGTTCAGGTACCGCATGGAGGACGGGTTGAGGAGCGTGACGAAAGCGGCGGTGCGTGAGGCGAGGATCAAGGAGATCAAGAACGAGGTGCTCAACTCGGAGAAGCTCAAGGTGCGCGCTCTACTATCTCTTCCCTCACGCTCTTCTCTTCGTCGTCTTACTGACGCTCCGGTGTGCGCACGGCCCTGCAGGCCCACTTTGAGGACAACCCCCGCGACCTCGCCTTCCTCCGGCACGACAAGACGCTGCACCCCTCGCGCGTCCAGCCCCACCTCAAGCACGTCCCAGGTTACCTCATGCCCCGCATCGCAGCCGTCGGCGCAAACGACGCGGCCGTCGCTGCTTCGGCGGCGGCGGCGGGTTCAGGAGCGGGCGAGGGCGCGACGGGAGTGGTTGGCAATGTGCCGTTCCACAAGCCTGGGAGGGGCGGCGCGCGTGGCGGACGGGGAGGAGGGAGGGGAGGCGCGAGGGGAGGTGGACGCGGAGGAGCCGGCGGTGCGGGCAGGGGCGGCAAGAGGCAGGACCCGCTCAAGGGAGGGGCGTTCAAGTTTGGTGGGGGCAAGAAGTGAGCGGCGCGGCGGTTGCGCTTGGATTGGACGTGGAGCGGGGACGGACAGTGTTGTAATGGCGGGTCCCCCGATGTCGGAGCTCTTGCTCGAGAGCCGCGACCGAGAGTGCAGGACCCGCTCGTCCCTGGTCCCAGGCGCTGCACTGGGCTGCTCCTTGCTCCCGGGACCGTCCCGCCTCCGTGAGCGTCAGCACGACTCGTCGCGACATACCCGCATCCGCTGGAGAGCGCCGTACGACAGACACGAACGGTTGACGCCTGGCCCGCTGCGCTCTCGCGCCCTCGCTCGGCTGCGCAGGGATCCCCTGTCGGCGCAGGCTGCCTCGTCCTCAGAGCTTCGAGTGTCTAGAGTTTGAGACCACATTGTCTTTCGGTCATGCTGTGTCAAGCACAGAGCCTCGAGCGTGGACGGGGACGACTCTCACGAGCGTCGAGCGTCTTTGTTGAGAATGTATATGTACCGCATTGGCCAGTTAAACAGCAAGCAACCAGTTCGTATGGTCAAGTGGTTACGACGTCGCATTGTGGTTTCAAGGGTGCACCAGCGCTCGGAATTGTTCTGCGGAATCCCGTGTTCGATTCACGGTACGGACAATCTTTTGCTTTTGCCGTCGCCACGGCTGGGCACGACACTTTCTCTTTCCTCCGCAACCTGCTTTCGACGCCTTGGCTGGCAGCAGAGAGTCAGGTCGTCTGTCGCCGTCTGCGCGGCGGATGCGCGGCTGGCCACGGGCGGACGGGATTTTAAATTGGAAAGGAGAGGCCTGTGCGCTCGAAAGAGAGCCGACGCTTGTCGGCCTTCCCACGGTGCATGCGCACGCAGGCTCGCGCATTGATCGCTGTGCGCTGACCCGTGCCCTGCCTCGTCGGGGAGCGCCCGGAGAAAACGAGTGACAGCCGCTCGCGCCCCTTGGCGGTGTCCTGCCCGGAGCCGCGGCGACGCGCTCCCTGGTCCGGACCTCGCTCGTTCCTCTCCCTCTCCCTTGCCTCACTCCTCACAGCAGCCGCAGAGTGCCCCTTCGGCGCGGTTGCACCGCCCACCCATCGATCAGCACCTTCACACACCGCCTCGAAATGCCTCACAAGCCGCGCAGGCCACTCGGCAAGGCTCGCCCGCCACTGCCCTCCAGGCCCAAGACGGTGCGTCGCAAGCATGCGAGCTGTCACTTTGTTGAAAGAACGAGTGCTGACAAAGCCCCCGAAACAGACGCACTGCATCCTCGCGACACTGCCGCCTGACCTGCTCCAGCGCATCTTTCGCCACGACCGGGCCATCACGCTCGACAACGCCGTGCTGTCCAAAGCCCTGCTCCCACATACTCTTGCCGCTTTGGCGCACCGCCTCTCGATCAGCAACGTGCGCCAGCTCGGCTCGCTCTGCGTGGCCTTGTCGCGTCGCCCAGCCCTCGCCATCGCGGTCGAGCATCTCGTCCTCGCAATCCACGACACACTTCTTGAGAGAGACATCTGGAGCTGGGGTCACCCGGGCGCTGGACAGCTCGGACGGAACTTCGAGCTCCGGGACTACCAGGGTGCGTCTTTTGTTCGTCGCTCCCGTCGACAACCCGACTCGAGATGCTGACCGCTCCACCGCAGAGTGTGTCGACAACCTCGAGCTGGACCCATGCTTGCTGCAGGACCTGTGCCGCATACTCATCAGGGTACGGACGGTGCGGGCGCCGGGCCCGATCGCTCGCGTCCTGCTCGAGCGGTCTTTCCTTGAAGGGCGCCCCTTCCCGTGCCTGGCTCGCCTCGAACTCTTCCTCCCTCCTGAGCTCGTAGATTGGGAGCCTTTCGACGACGGCGCGCTCTCGCGGCTGTCCCTCATCCCGTCCCTGCGAAGCGTCACGGTCCAGGCAGGCGTCGAGGAGCTCCCCGTCGACTTCCTCAACCTCTCCGCGGCCTCCTACACGCGCCCTCGGAGCCTCTTTCTCATCCAGTTCGAGCTGGACCACTTTGACGTCCTCGGGCGAGAGGCACGCGTCGTCTTTACGTCACTGCAACCTGGGCTGCAATGCGTCTCGCTCGAAGCGATGTCGTTCTACCCGGGCGCCTTTGACGACCTGTTGTGCCTGCTTCCGACTCTCGAGTTCCTCAAGCTTGCGCTCGGCGACCTCTGCCCCGCGTACGTGCCTCGGGAGTCGCCATCGCCCAAGTTCGACTCGCCCGCCCTCGCACTCGCCTTCCCCAACCTCACAGGACTAGTCCTCGTCGGACCCATCCTCTCCCCCTCGACGATCCCCGACGTCATACAGCGCCTCTCCCAGCTCGTCGACCTCTGCCTCGGCCCGCATGGCGACATCGACGGCAGGCAGTTGTGCTCCCTCCTCTGTGGCGGCCCGCGCTCGTGGCCCAAGATCGGGAACCTCCGCGTCGACACCTGCAGCTGCGACCCCTCGAGGCCGAGACTGCCGCCGGGCAATACGCTCGCGCGCCTAGCCCGCATCGCTCGACACCGTGACGGCGGCAGCGCCCGCACCGAGACTGGCGGCGCGGGCGTCGCCCCGAAGAAGCGCAGCAGCGGCGCGACTCGCGCCCCCGCCTGGCCGCCGAACCTGCGCGCAAGCGATGTGCGGGAGCTCGTCACGATCACGGATAGCAAGGATGTCGCCTTCGATGGCACGGCATTGTGCGCAGCGAGGCTGTGCGGCGGCGACGGCGCGGACGGACATCGCTGCCCGGCCGGGTGGGGATGAGTCAGCTACAGGGGGGGATGGGAGGTGTCGCGGTGCGCGGGCCGCCGCGAGAGGCGGCGAAAACGACAGGCAGGTCGCGCGGCGCGCGACCTTCTCAAGCCACGACAGACGTGTTCTTCCGTTTGGTGCCTCTCACTCGAGCTAGGCAGTAGGATGATCGTGAACGACGTGCAGAGTGCGTGACAAGGCAAAGCTACGAGGTAACCGTCCCCCCGATTCAGGGACGCCCAGGAAGAGAGAGGAGAGACGAAGGAACAGAGACAACCGACGACAGAACGATGCGTGAGCGAGAAACGGTGCGGCGTGACGGGGCAGTAGTACACAAGCCGTAGAAAGCGTGCGCAAGAGATGCGGGTACATGGACGAGACGAGAGAGGCGATGGTGGGTGATGTGAGGCGGGGTTTTCTCAGGGCGACGAGCGGCGATGGTGTGAAAAGGCCGAGGTGGAGATGCGAGCTCGAGGCGAGCGTGGGTGGCGGCCGAAGGGGTTGAAGACGAAGCGGCGAATGTACGATGCGGGGGGTATGAAGTGTCGAGGGAAGGGAGACAGGCGGAATCGACGGCGAAGGGGGTGCCGAGGGCCCAGCAGGCGAGCTTGTTAGAGCTGGCGCTGGCGCTGCGTCAGGGACAAGAGAGAGTCAGCGATCCGAACAGGGTGGAAGCGAAGACGAGACGAGGGCGCACCTTGAGCGTGCGACCAGGACCGAGGGCGGCAACGACGGCCGGCGGCGTGAGCGGCGGCGAGAAGGGGAGGCCGTTGCCACCCGCCGCCTGCGGCAAAGGCAAGTCGACGATGCTGCTCTTGCGCAGCTTGGGGGGCTCATCGCCGTGCGCCGGCGACGCCGAGACAGCGGGAGGTGCACATTCTGCGACGTGCGGGAGTGCCTTGGACGACGAGAGGGGGGTCATGCTGAGGCGCTTGGCGTGGTGCAGCGGGTGGGTGGTCGAGGGTTCAGCTCGGGGCGCCGGACTGAATGCGCGAGGGTCGAGGCCGCCGGGATGCAGAGCGACGGGCACGAGAGCGGGAGAGGGCGGGAGGGCGAGGTCATCCCGAGGGATCGCCGCCGGAGTCGATGAGTGCGTCGAGGCCCTCCGCATGTGCGACGGGTCGAAGTAGCACGACGGCGCCTGGTCGGCGAAGAGTCTCGACGCGGGCGAGACGGGTGACGGGTAGGGCTGGTCGTCCACGGCGGCGCGCAGGAACGACGCTGGCTGGGGGAGGTCACCGAGGCTCAGCTCGAGCGAGTTTTGCCTCAGGCGGTGGTACACCTCGTCACGACCACCTGCTGCAAGAGAGCGTCACGCAACGACATCCTCGTGTCAGTGTGAGGGAAAGGCGTGGAGGAGAGTGTGGGGGGAGCAGGCGGATTCAACGCACCTGCGCAGCGCGGACGGCCGCCGTCGAGGTCGAACCCCTCGAGCGCGCCAGTCGGCACCAGGGGCTTGTCGCATTGTGGGAACGACGACGACGACGAGGAAGGCAGCGCCGAGCGCGCGGCGGTGCCAAGCGGAGGAGCCACCGACCCGGCACGACTGCCGGCGTTGAAGCTTTGGCTCGAGGCGGACGGCGGCGGCGGCGCCGGTGCGAGCGACGTGGGCGACACGAGGTCGTCGTGCTGGACGGGCGCGCCAGCAGGTGCGCGAGTCGTCGACGACAGAGACCAACCGTCGGCCCACGCGTGGAGGTCGAGCGTGGGGAGCGCGACGTGAGGAGGAGGAGGCAGTGGGCGGCGCCCGGGGATGCCACAGGCGCGGGGAGGAGGTTGCGGCGCGTTGTTGGCGTGGGCGAGCATGGGGGTCGGTGCGGACGAATGGCTTGAAGGAGACAGAGAGGGAGAGAGACCGGCTCGAGTTTGCGAGAGGAGGGAGAGCAAAGGGGAAGTGGTGCGAAGGACGGGCTCAGCTCGGGACCTCGAAGGGGGGAGGGGGTCGAGCGTATCAAGAGCCATGCGGGGGATCGCCCGCCAGACTCAGGCACCGGGAAGGACCCGTTCCGGAGAGAAGGCGGTCATTCTCAGGGGGAAGCTTGTGCTCAACGCACGCACGCGCGACGTCGCCAGAATCGAGCAACCACCACTGGCTCCTCTCATCCTCCACCCATGCCCGGCTCTACCGCGCCCGCACGACTGCGCCCTCTGGCCAAGCTCCCTCAGGCTGCTGCTGCCTGCGCACAAGCCGTCAGTCCCACTCCTCTCGTGCCCTCTGTGGCGTGGCGTGGCGGCCGCGAGTGCCCTTGGAGGGAACCCCTTCTGGCCCCGCGAGTCTGGAACAAATTCCTCCTGCTCGAGATTCCGCTCCAAGGGGAGCTCCGGCTCGTCCGCTTCGTTGCCACTCAAGAGTCCGAGCTCTCTCGTCCGTTGCTGACGGTGGCCTAGCGAACCACAGGGGGCGACCTACGGCAAGTGCATCGGCGCGCGGTACCAAGAGGTTGAACGCGACATGTGTGCCCGCGAGTTTGCCGCCTTTCGCCAGTGTGTCCTCGAGCAGGTGCGCAGCTCTCTGGCCCCTTGCGTCACGCTCGCTCGAGAGAGCGGCAAGCGTCGTCTTGCGCGCGCCAATCGATTGACCCTGACCTGACCTCCCCTTCGCGACCTCGACCCTCGCAGATGAAGGCTCGAAAGTGAGGGCGCGCCAGCAGCGCGGTGCAAGCGTCACCCACGTCTCATCCTGTGCAAGGGCGCGCCTCTTTGGTTCGAGCGCGAGGGATCGCCAGGCCCAGAGGGAGGGAGACTTGCGAAGCGACCTCTCCAAGTTCAGGGCCGCGGTTCTTCTCGCTCGAGCCTGTCCCAGTTTGCGACAGCCGGGTCTGCCGGGCGAGCTGGTGGATGGGCGGGGCGGGCGGGCAAGAGCGCAGACGGACTCGGGTCGCGAGGGTCGCCGGCCTCCGCGTGCAACCT